CTCAAAGGCCAAAAATCATCTAGAATTGCTTACAAGCAACTAATAGCAAATAAAAGTGAAAAACCCACATCTTGTATAGACAAATGGCATAAAGACATCCACTCTTCAACCGATAAAAATGCTGACTGGAGAAACGTTTTTCAAGCAGCAAACACTTGTACAACGAGCTCAAAACTTATTGATTTTAATTTCAGATTTTTACATAGACGTTTACCAACTAACAGCTATCTGCAAAAAATAGGAGTTAAAGAGAACGGAAAATGTACTTTTTGCCATGACGAGAAAGAGGATTTGATGCATCTATTTTGGAAATGCCAAAAAACCAAAAATTTTTGGGATAATTTCTCGATATGGCTTCAGTCGTGCCAGATCCTCCAACCGGGCAGTTACTTAGACATGACTACCGCTTTGGGCCTAACGCCAGACAGCTCTTCCTTTAAGCTCCATATAAACTTCTGTTGTCTTATAGCTAAGAACTTTATCTGGATATGCAGATCGAAAGAATGTTTCCCAATTCACAACAATTTCTTGTTTCATCTGAGACATATATACCAATTAGAAAATAAGACACCGCGCAATACAAAAAAATGGAAACCTTTCTTTTCCTCGCTGGGTCTTGTCTCCTAACTCCAAAAACATAAATTAGTGCACCTACTATGAGTATTTATATTACTTTCACCACAAAGAAAGAAAAAAAAAATGTAAAAATTAATTATAGATTATACTAAGTAGAGTAATATATGGAATTACCATTGCTGTAATGTATTTTAATATTTGTAAGTATATTGCCATGTAAGTGTGTAAATTCGCTATTTGTTTTTTTTTGTTACTTTATTTGTTACTTTTTTTTCTTTTTATTACTTTATTTATTCTGTGTAATTTTTGTTTCTTTTCTGTGTGTGTATTACTTGCAATAAAAAAAACAAAACAAAACAAAACAAAACAAAAAAAAAAGATTGTTCAACCCTCAAGCGTCAAGACGTCTCCATGGTGAAATTAAACTTGAGAGCTGATTTTCAGTCATAATGACAGACACGATACGACATGGCGAGAAACTATTCAACATTCCAAGGAGCCTATCAGTTGTCAGGCTCCTGACATTCCTTAACTGTATATTATTGCAAAAAAAATTAATTAAATATTGTAAGTAGTAATCATTTAAAACAAAACAAAAAATGTTAGAACTGCAGTCGGCATTACTATTTTAGTTTGAAAGTTTTATTAAACCCAGCCTCAGCCCAACGCAACGCAACAACGAGCTTTATTTGGATGACCATACAAACACATACAGTATTGCAAAAGCTATGTTTAGGAATCAAATTTACAACACAGGGCAATTACGTTACTTTGATAATAATTTGTCACGAACATCAAAACAAGCTGAAATATATTTTATGAATTGTAAATTGATAAAGTAATTAGAAGAGTTCATCAGTTCATTGATCAAACCGTTTATAGGTAACTGGGTAATATTTGGAATCAGAGTCTTGGCTTTATAGTAAAATTTATTCCTAATCATAGAGTATGTATAGGACATTGAAAAAGAAAGTGAACTTCGTCTTCTATTACATTGTATCCACAAAAAGGGCAATGCCTATTACCCTTCGTAGTTTGATTGTATCTGCCTATTTCTATCATTAGTTTGTGATTGCTTATTCGTAGTTTTACTAAAGCCCTTCTCCCAGCTGTTCCTCTTGTTAAGTCTGAGTAACTAGGGGAGGTATGATCGGTTTTAAAAGATCTATAAAATTCAAGTTTTTGAGAATGTTGAAGGGTGTTTTGCCAATATGAGATATAGTCCTGTTTCATTGAACTTACATAGCTTTTTACCATAGCTATATCTAATAATTCAAAGTAGACAGACTGCAAATTATCTTAGTTGCTAAAAAATATATATCTACGTGTCGCAACTGTTCATCAGTAGGATGCCTAAAATGCGTGCAATTCCACAATTGGTTTCGGCTCCATTAAATCCTATACCAATTGCAGAACATTTTAGGAGGAGCCACCCACCATGTTAGCACAGTCACGGACAATGTATAAGTGAGTGTAAATCAGGGTTAAAGTCAGGAAGCTTAAAGTATTCTGATATATTCATTAAATGAGAGTGGAAGCTATTTTTGCTATTACAGTGTAAGTCGAATGACATTAAAAAGGCTTGTTTGACGAGAGATTCCTCATCTTTAGACTGTACGTACAAAATGTATTTGACAATTTTTTGGTTGATTGTGGTATTTAAAGGAAAACGACCAAGCTCTGCTCTACAAGCTATATTAGTAGCTTTGTTGTTTACCTCCAAGTATCGTTTACAAAATTAAAGGTGTGCCTTCTTGATTTGTGAGCCGTCCCAGGTCTTAAAATCTGGTTTGGCATACACACCCCAAATTTCACTGTTAAATGTTACAATAGGGGAGATCATAGTATCAAGCTAATATCGAGCTGCTTTTAGTTTGCTAAGATTTGAGTGTGGTCTCAAGCTGAAGATGGCATGAAAAGCTTCTCCTTGAGATATTCACGTGACACTGAAAAATTTCCCGATGAGGACATTCCAGTTGCTACTCTTGTACAACATCAATTATTTGACTATCTGTAAGACAGTGAAAATCAGCATTTTTTCTCGCACGTTTCTGAAAAACCATAATTTTTGTTTNCTACGTGTCGCAACTGTTCATCAGTAGGATGCCTAAAATGCGTGCAATTCCACAATTGGTTTCGGCTCCATTAAATCCTATACCAATTGCAGAACATTTTAGGAGGAGCCACCCACCATGTTAGCACAGTCACGGACAATGTATAAGTGAGTGTAAATCAGGGTTAAAGTCAGGAAGCTTAAAGTATTCTGATATATTCATTAAATGAGAGTGGAAGCTATTTTTGCTATTACAGTGTAAGTCGAATGACATTAAAAAGGCTTGTTTGACGAGAGATTCCTCATCTTTAGACTGTACGTACAAAATGTATTTGACAATTTTTTGGTTGATTGTGGTATTTAAAGGAAAACGACCAAGCTCTGCTCTACAAGCTATATTAGTAGCTTTGTTGTTTACCTCCAAGTATCGTTTACAAAATTAAAGGTGTGCCTTCTTGATTTGTGAGCCGTCCCAGGTCTTAAAATCTGGTTTGGCATACACACCCCAAATTTCACTGTTAAATGTTACAATAGGGGAGATCATAGTATCAAGCTAATATCGAGCTGCTTTTAGTTTGCTAAGATTTGAGTGTGGTCTCAAGCTGAAGATGGCATGAAAAGCTTCTCCTTGAGATATTCACGTGACACTGAAAAATTTCCCGATGAGGACATTCCAGTTGCTACTCTTGTACAACATCAATTATTTGACTATCTGTAAGACAGTGAAAATCAGCATTTTTTCTCGCACGTTTCTGAAAAACCATAATTTTTGTTTTCTTGGGATTGATTTTCATCATCCATGAAGTACAGAATGACGATAGTTTATCGAGACAATTTTGTAGTCCTGTTTTGGATCGTGATAAAATGATTAAATCGTTTGCATATAATAGAGAATTTAATTTTGCACCGTTTGGCAAAACGAAAGGATCAGATAATGTATTTTCAAATGCGAAAGGTAGGTCGTTAATATAAAGATTAAAAAGCAGTGAACTTAAGATACAGCCATGCCTCACACCTCTCGCATAACGGAATAATCGCGTTTGTTGTTGAGCAATTTTAATTGAGCACCAAGAGTTGTGATATAAGCTTTTAATTAAGTTATAAAAAGAACCACCAACATCAATTTGCAGCAGCTTATTCAAGAGCCCGTCATGCCAGACCGAGTTAAAAGCTTTTTTGTACTCTAAAACCTGAAGCATAGATCTTTTCGTTGTGATTATGAACGTACTTATCTATCAAGGTTCGAAGAGTGAAGACGCAGTCTGCTGTGCGGTTATTCGGTAAAAAGCCAATTTGAGATTTGTGGAGTATATTCAAAGAAACAATATACTCGAGAAGCCGTTGGTTTAAGATAGAACAAAATAGTTTTCCCAGGCAGCTGGAGACACAGATACCCCGGTAGTTTGCCGGATCGCTTCGTCCGCCCTATTTATAAATGGGAGTAATAAGACCACCACACCGCCAAGTCTGTGGCATGGTCCCTTGGTTAAGAATTGAATTAAATATTTTTTCATATACGGGCATCAGTGTATCAATACTAGCTTTTATCATTTCATTTCTAATTTTATCCGAAAATGGTGATTTATTATTCTTTAACTTTTCCGCAGCTTTACGTATTTCTCTTTCAGTTATCTTGAAATCTAAAGGACGAGAGTATTGACCATGGCATTCATTTTGTTGTAGCTCATTGCAAATGTTTCGCTGCCCTGGGTTAAGAGGTTCATTTGAATAAAGATTGTGGAAATATTGTAGCCAATTTTCTTTCGAGATTGATGGAACATCCTCTCCTTTTCTAGTGTCGTCCATCGATTTGAGGCATTGCCAGAAAGTTTTCGCGTCTGAATTGTCTGCAGTTTTTTCTAGCTCAGAAATCTTGGCATTGTACTAATCATTCTTTTTAGAATTAAGTAATTTCTTGTATTGGGCCAGAGTATCATGGTATTGTTCACGTATGAACGTATTTACCATCCAGTAAATGTCTTAGTAAATTTTTCGACTTTTCTGTCCGACGCTCATGTCAATTTTCTCATTCGCCAAAAAACACGATTCTACGTATTCTTTCTCTCTCTTACTGTCCAAAAAAAGTCTATTTCCCTATCTCATCAATTAAATCAGCAAATTGATTATCCTACGATGGTCCACAAGTGCAACGGCAAAACAAAATAAATTTACAGCAAAATGAAACGTCACGGTAAAATATAATCAGCTCACGACATCTATATGTACATATGTTCAGTTCAAGTTTTAACGCTCAGCCACAAAACTGGATTAACCAAGAGTGTTAACAATAATCAACAACTAAATCAATACCTGAGAAACAATATTTTTAAGATCGCTGTTCAGAAGGTGTTAAATTTGCACACAGTGCTTACTAGTTGAAAACGTAAATACAGTGTTTGTTTAAATCTGTAACAAACAAATGTCCAGTATGAGACACGGCACAACCAATAAGATGACTTTTATGATCAAAACAACTCCCGGCTACCTTAGAGACATATTTTCCGTCAAGTGTGAACAGTTGCAGTCTTCTGTTCCCCGCATCGCAAACGATCAAACGGTTGAACTTGTCGATAGCGAGACCAGTGGGACACGAGAACTGCTTATCACCAGTTCCCTCACTGCATATGTCATGTAGATACTCCCCTGCGTTGTTAAATACCATGACACGGTTAGCTTTTGGATAAGAGACAAAAAATTTGTCTTGCTGATAAACAACACACCATGGCCCCGCATCACAACCAGGAGCACTGAACGACTGAAGAAGGTTTTTCCCATCAGGACTGAGAACTTTGATTGTTTTGTCATCATAGTCACTTGTGATTATGCGACCATCACTCACAACAGATATGTACCATGGTATCTTCCAATGTTCTTCGCTGATGTATCGAATGAATTGACCACCCTCAGTGCACAAGTACAAGGTGGCTTTATTGTCGCCACTCTCGACAGTGCTAAGGAGGTCACCAGACTCGGTAAAAGCCACCGAATACGTTTCAACTTCCAATGCTATCTCTCTGAGGAAATTCCCATCAAAGCCAAACATCTGAACTCTCTTATTGCTTACATCAGCAACAGCAAGCGTCCTTGTTTTATCATTCACAGCAATACCACAAGGACTCTTGAACTGCCCTTGTTCTTTCCCTTCTGATCCAAATTGAAACGCAAATTGATACTGATGCTGAATCACCTGCAATACCCAGGGACTACCAGTCAGCGACTGTCCATTAACTTGGATCTCTAGCCTATGTTGTCCAACACACTGTGGTGTGTGAGCTGAACAATAACACAGCCCATAGAACTCACAATAACACGGTTTCCTGGTTTATTCCGCTTCAATCCGACTCACAAACTCTCACGAAACTCGATGAAAAAACCTCAAAGGAAAACTCGCGCTCACAATATTTTTTCGACTCGTCCCGTTCTAGCTTACTCAGCACGCACGTGCTCATTACCCTATTTGGTAGCCCTAGCCCTAATTTGGTAGTGCTGCTCAACGTCACAAAACTGTGAGGGGTAGGGTTAGTAAAACTCTCGTACACAACTCCCCTAAAAATTGTAGCACGCAATTTTTACAATCAAACGTAACTTGAAACTAATCCGATTTGCTATATGACAGTCCGGTTTTATACTTGAACACAGTTCAGTTTATCAATTCTCTTCTTCTTGCAATTGTTCTGTGATTCTCTGAGCAGCCCTCTGAGCTGCAGCTCGTCTTGGTCTCTGTTCTCCTTCATCAGCTCGATCTCTCTCCCCCCTTTGAGATTGGTCAACATTCTCCACAGCTCTGATTTCCAAGGGACAAACTAACTGAAGCGGGCGTTCAATAGTGTGCCTTTTGTGTAACAATGTCACCCCTCTAACGACATCTTCTTTTTTCCTTTGATAAGACGCACTACTTTTCCCTTTCTCCATTCTCCGCGGTTCTTTTCGTCTCCAATGATGAGTACAATTTCTCCCACTTGAGGTATAGTTTTCCCGTTTCCTTGTTAAGCCTGTGACTTTCCATTAGGCTATGGACATACTCCCTTTTCCAGCGTTTCCATGCATTGGCCTTAGCATTTTCCAATCGTTTGGCCATCTTTGTTAGCTTCTCTCCAGCTGAGCCTTCGGTGTCTTCTACAGCATACACATCTCGTCCCCACAGGATCATGTTTGGTGTAAGTACCGCCTCTTCCTCTCTCTCTGCTTCAACATATGTCAAGGGGCGATTGTTCAAATTTCTTTCGATGTCCATGATGACTGATTCAAATGCTTCATAGGAAAGATGTGACCTCCCAAGGTCTTATGCAAGGTCTTCTTTATCTCCTTAATCAATCTCTCATAGATTCCTCCCCACCAGGGTGACTTTGCAAGATTAAACTGCCAGCGAATGTTCTCACGTGCTAAGTAATTCTGCAACTTCTCACTTCTCCTCACTGTCTTGATCCAATCTGCTGTAGCCTTAAACACTTTGGCATTATCCGAGATGATGATGCGAGGTCTTGTTCGTCGCGAAATAAAGGCATTCAGCTTACTCTTGAATTCCTCTGCCGTTTGGGTTCTTGCAACTTCCAAATGGACCGCTCTGGAGCTGGCACAGGTGAAAATAATGACATAGCACTTTCCTTCTTCTTTCTTACCGACCTTGTACAGCAAGGGTCCGGCAAAGTCCACTCCGGTTACTTCAAACGGTCTGCTCCCCTCCGTTCTATATTCTGGCAAAGCACTAGTTGATGGCACTCCATAAGGTTTGGTGGAGTATACTTTACAGATGTTGCAGTTCTTAATGACCTTCTTCACTTTCGCTCTCAACTTTGGTATCCACCAGTTCTCTCTCATGCTCGCCATCGTGTTCGCGACACCAAGATGCATGACCTGATTGTGGATGTGAAGGATAAGCTTCTCCGCAAGTAGACCATCAGGAAGGTAAATCGGCCGATATCCTTTAATTCTGCCTTCACACCTGAGAACTCCTGTACTGTTATCTTTGACCAACTTCCATCCTGGGGACTTCAGACATGTTTCCTCTGCTTTCTGAACTCGCTTTACCCAGTAGTCACTTGCAGCTGTGATTTCTTCCGTAACTAATGGCCCTGACATCTTCTTTGACTTGCTTCTCGCTTGGCAGTTTCTGATAAAACGTAACACCCATGCTGTTACTCTCATTGTACGCCAGGAGGTGCTTCTTTCTAACAAGGCATCCCACTCATCGAACATGCGCTCTTGTGTGCGGAGAACTGCTTCTTGGGTGACCTTACTCTCTTCATCTGCTTCTTTGGTGCTATTCAGCCTTGGCTGCTCCGGCCACCGCCTTTTGTCCAAGAGCCAATCCGGACCGGCAAACCAGTTTCCTCTCTCCATCTTCACAATGGTTGCCCCTCTACTTCCGAGATCTGCTAGATTCAACTCTGATGGGCAGTACTTCCACGTGATGTTCATTGGACCAGCGGTTTCTGCCATCTTCTTTACTCTGTTTGATACAAACACCTTCCATCCTCTCCCAGGATTGGTTATCCAATATAGTGCTACCATACTGTCCATCCAAATGTTGATGGCTTGAATGGGCCATTGCTGGAGAGCAGTGCTGAGGTTCTTCGCCATGTTTACTGCCATGTGGCCACTCACGAGCTCCAGTCTTGCTATTCATGTACTTCTCTTTGATATCCGCGACTTTGAGGTCAGAAGTCCTTTGGTCAGGCCTGCCTCATGTTCTACCACCGCAACAGCTGCTGAACAGCATGCTAGAATGCTGGCATCTGCGAAAATATGTAAATGGACTGCTCCTATCTCTCCAACAAATGAAGCAATACTTCTAGGCACTCTTACATCTTTAAGTTGCTTCGTCCACCTTAACCATTGGTTCTTCAATCTGGGGGAAACTTCTGCATTCCAGCCTTTCTTCTCATCGCAGGCTTCTCGATAAATATGCTTTCCCTCAGCCATGGTGGGCGAGATTATCCCGAGTGGGTCATAGACAGTTCCTAGGTAACTGAGTATAGTGCGCTTGGTCACTGGATGTTCTTGTGGAAAAGGCTTTGCAAGCAACTCCAGTGTGTCATCATCCTTATTCCACACATGTCCGAGGATCTTGCTTGGATTTGGCATGCCTTCACTTTCAAGAAACTTGACATTAGATTCCCACTTGTGCACCGGAAACCTGGCAGACTCAAGTATGGCAGTAGTCTCTTCTTTGAACTGCATGAGTTTCTCTACATTTCCTCCCGTTTGCATGAGATTGTCAACATAAGTGTTCTCCTTAAGTGCTCTCACTGTCTCTTCAAATTCTGACCCTTGTTGTTCAAAGTGATGCTGCAGAGTGGCTCCCAGTAGGAAAGGGCTTGCTTCAACTCCGAAAGGTATAGGTGTAAATCTTAAATGTTTCTCTGTTCCTTTAATGTTGAACAAGAATCTGACTGCATCTCTATCCTCCTCCTTCACACCTATCTGGAGAAACGCCTTTTCTATGTCTCCAAGGAGCAGACTTGTGGACATTCGCACTCTAATCATTATGTCGCAAAGAAGCGGCTGCAACGGAGGACCAGTGAACATGCAATCATTGATGCTTAGCAATCATGCAATCATTGGGGCTTAGCACTTGCGTCAAACACCATGCGAACCTTAGTCGTAACTGCACTCTGCTTTACAATTGGCTTGTGAGGCATGTAAAACACACGTTTTCCAGATGGAATCTGAGGTGCTTCCTCGATTACCCCTGCTCTGAGTTGCTCTTCAATTATGCCACCATACTCTCCTTTCAGTTTCTTATCTCTTGAAAGCTTTCTCTCCACGTTTTCAAGCCGCTTTCTGCTAAGTGCTTCATTTGTGTTCGTTAATGTAGCTCCCGGTATCCAAGGAAAACCAACCTCATACCTTCCATCTTGCTTTCTGACAACACTCTCTTTAAAGTCACGCAGAACATCCAGCTGATCATTCTCTCCCCGGCCCTCGACTCCCAGTACATCCAAACTGTATAGTTTCTCATAGTCATTAACCTCTCTCATGTACATGCAGCTGCTTCCACTCCCATATTCGTCTCCCCCATGGACCACCCAACCGAACGTTGTCTCCTCTACCAGCGGCTCTCCCAGGTGCCCTTTGAGTACTCTCTCCGTCCTTATTCTGCTATAAACACCGTCTCCGAGAATGAGGTGTATCTGATGTTCTCCTGTGGACGTCATGTAGAACCGCTTGTCTTGTGTATGTGAGTACTTCAACTTCAGCTGATTCATGTCTGGCCTTCTCACTGTAGTAAAATCAGCTAACTTCGATCCTGTGAATTCCACCTCTTCGCATGATTTCCCGTCCAGGGACTTAATATGGGTGTCAAAGATTGGCATTGTCTGGACTTTGGTTCCATTGACTGTCAAGATTTCGCGAGTCTCGTGACGTGTCGGTTTCAACTTTACTAACTTGACTGCTTCACGTGAAATGAAGTTGCGTCCAGATCCTGTATCTAGGTAAGCCCAAAGCACTTGCCCCCCAATACTGACGGGAATAATCGCAGGTAGCACTTTCTCCTCTGCATAATTGGAGTAGACTGTCAATGACACTCCATCTGGATTACTGCTTTCCCTCTCCGGTCTATCGCATATGCTTCTATGGTGTTTGTGTTTACACTTGGCGCAGCCACGCCTACGGCACTGGTCTGCTCTGTGGTTTTGCCTTCCACAATTAAAGCATAACTTGTGGTCTATGAAGAACTTCTTCCTGTCCGCTAATGCTGTTACTAGGGTACAGTCCTCACTCCAGTGCTCTTGTTTTCGGCAGAAAAGGCAATAGGGTTTCAGTTTATCTCCTTGCTGCTGTGAGAAAAGATGTTTTTCGCATTTGCTGCTTTCGACGTGATTTCTCCTAAGCCACTTCTGCAGAGCATCAATCAGGTCTTCCATGGACCATTCCTCCCAACTGTCATCCACTCTCACCAGATCGGGCTTTACGTGAGGTAACTTGTTGAGCGTAGTCATAACAAACCCTTGTAACTTTTGGCCTTCTTCCAGGGTTTGAAGGGCGTCATAGTTCCTACTCAGTTTCTCGTAGAATTCTTGCACCTTGAAATAATTGGAGCCCTTGACTGGAAATAAATTGATGATTTCTTCCATGTGCGCATTCATGACGACCTTTGTTTGCCCATATTCTTTCTTTAGTCTATCCCACGCTGTCTTGTAACCAACAGTTCCAGGCTTTAAATTTGCAATTCTGTCTCTCACCTTCGGGCTAACGGATTCCAGAAGGTACCCGAATTTCTCTTCGTCGGAAATCGACTTCGCATCAACTTGCGTCAGGAACATGTTTTCAAATCTAATCCAGTCGCCGGCGGTACTCTTGAACGGTGTTATCTTTAATTTCGGTAACTTTGTGGTGCTGGAAACAGCTGTTTTCTCCATTTCTAATTTCTTTTCTGCCACAAGTAATTCAGCTTCAAGCTTTTCCTTCCACAACTCACGCTCGTGTTCCTGTTGTTTTTCACGTAACACGTACAATCGCCGCTCATCTTCCAACTGTTGTTCCCGCTTCAAAACTTCTTTTTGTCGCGTAATTTCTTCCTCTTTATCATCTAAACACTTTCTAAGCCTCTCGTTTTCGCTGACAGATGCTGCATACTTTGATTTAGTGTCTTTTCTCCACTGTCTCACCGTCCGAGGCGACAATCCTCGCTCAATTTTTAATTCTTCTGTCTGTGAAATAAGATCCGATAGCTTTGTAATGATTTTCACAGCTCGTTTGTTGACTATTTCCATCTCCGAATAATCCTGAATTTCGATCAGTTCATCTATCTCCTCCATGAAGTACTTGACCTTATCAATTTCCTTGTCGATCTCTTTTATGAGACGTTGTTCTTCGTCGCTCGGTTCTTCGCTGTCGCTCATGTTTGTTTTGACTCCGAGAAAGGATCACTTCGCTTCTCAAACTGTCTCGCTAGCGTTGTGTATTTCTTCAGCGCATCCTGGTCTCGGCACCAAAAATGAGCTGAACAATAACACAGCCCATAGAACTCACAATAACACGGTTTCCTGGTTTATTCCGCTTCAATCCGACTCACAGACTCTCACGAAACTCGATGAAAAAACCTCAAAAGAAAACTCGCGCTCACAATATTTTTTCGACTCGTCCCGTTCTAGCTTACTCAGCACGCACGTGCTCATTACCCTATTTGGTAGCCCTAGCCCTAATTTGGTAGTGCTGCTCAACGTCACAAAACTGTGAGGGGTAGGGTTGGTAAAACTCTCGTACAGTGTGTATGTTACTGTGTACTTGCCGTCTTTGGTGTCTTTTATCTCTGTTTCCAGTTGATCATCTGCTGGAGTTATAATGTTGACTTTTACTTCATCATCTTCATGATAACACTGCTTTCCATCTGATTCTCTAGTTACAATGATGAAATTTGCCACCGTTTTTTCTCTTACAAGTTCTTGATTGTCCACTTCCGCTAAGCAAAGTAAGGGATCTGTATTACTAACCACAATTCGATCCAAACCCGGATTCAGTTGATTTTCGACTATGTAATGCACGTGTGGTGGTTTATAAATGTCAGGTTTTGTTGCGTTCAAAAGTTCTTCACAGCGTCCAACAACGATCTGATTTGTTTGAAGAATCTCGGCACTGACGTTTCTTTCTAGTACGCTTTCACCTCGCTCAGTGCAGCTTTGCAGTTGAGTCAAAACCAACTCAAAGTTTTCTAGTCGTGTCGCGTGATGTTTTTGTTGCGCCTCATAAATTTCAGCAAATTTGGCTTTCATGACCCTCTCATGTTCTCGTAATTTAAGGATACGTTCCTCCACGGCATCTGTCATCTTCTTTTCCGCTAACAAAATCTCATTTTTGGTTTTGTCCATCAGCTCAGTTTGTTTCCTAATTTCGTTCTCGTAAATTACAGTTTCCGCTTTCACTTTCTCCAAAGCGCCCTTCATTTGCATCTTCTGTACTTGTGCGGCTTTCTGAGTGTCTATCATGTTGTGTCGATTATGGCCGACTACGCTACACTTGTGGCAAATAAGAACTTTGCATTCTTCAGCGGCTGATTTTCGTGATATTGCTGTGAACAAATGGCAGGTCTGTGGATCAGCTCTCGAACATCTTGCACATTTAATTTCTCTATCACAACATTGCGATGACCTCTTGTGCTCTTCAGGCGCTGATGAGCTTCAAAGCAGGAAGTACAGAGGAATATTTGACAGACAAAACAGTAAGAGGAAGCGGTATTGTTCTCATCACAACTGCTGCATTTCTGGGCCTGTACGCCGCCATATTTGAGAGCGAGAACATCCACCAATCGGTTAAGATGATAAGATGCAGGCAAATTCTTGAACGAGTCTCCTTCAGGAATTTGGAAAGATGTCTGGCAAACCGGACATTTGATTGTCGCTTGTAGCCGTCTTCTTGCAAAATTTGCGTGTTTGTCAAGACACTCAAGACAGAAAGAGTGAATACATGGCAAAGTCTTGGGATTATTGACTGTCTCCAAACACAGTGGGCATTCAGCTTCCTTCTTAAGAACTGTAAAGAGCTGTTGAATATCCATGGTGAATCTAGAGCTGCAAGCGATGGCTCCGTGAGAGCATGATTATGGGTGCGGTTTGCTAAGCTGTGTAACAAAATAGGACTCAATGTTTTTTATTGTAATTGAAAAGCTGACATGAAGCGAAAGCGAAACACAATGAACAAAAAAAAAATAAGGATATGAAGTCAATTGGTAAACTGAAGAGTAAAAAGAAAAAAAACAGAACTGCTGAATTTAGGACTTGCAGTCAGTCGATGACACAGGCTTCCCAACCTCGAGTTCACATCAGTAACTGATGAAATGTTTATACGAAAAAAAAAACGGTAATGAATTATAAGGCGTTTATGGCAATTATTCGATAGAGCCGGCGAATCAAACACGGTTCCCGTGTGAAAGAAGCGCGAAAGTTGGGGAGACAGTAGCTCTACCACCATCTTAAAAGCAACCGCCCCCAGCTTTCTTCACTTTGGTTCATATGTGCAGAAAAAGTGACCTCGCCAGGAGCCCATAACCACGGAGTTAGCTAATTTCAAGCGACTGCTCGCGTCATGTCGTTTTCACAGATCAGTTTATTTTTTGGATTTATTTTCTGGCACGATCTTAGAAAATCGTCAACGTCCAAAAATCAGTTAGTAAAACTTACAGAACTTAAAATTTTGCCGTGTTAATGACGTTTAGCGGTCTCTCCCTTTCATATGCGTCAAGACTACGTGACCAAGAAACGACGGGCCCTGGGGACGAAGATGCTAGCTGCCGGCCTGTTCAGTGTAGCGGGCTTCTGACGTCTGCGTGCATGCTACCTTTTTTCTCTACCCTCGCCCTAACCGTGCTTGCCCTGGTCCAGGGAAACTCTTGCCACGCAGCCAATTTGCCAAACTAAAGGTAGACACCTTCATTTTTTATCTGAATGGAAAGTGTGTGATCAAATATGATTGATCTCGCCATCAGCTTGATCACTATTCCAGCCGGGCGTGGTTCTCAAAACACATTAGTGAGCTTGAGAAACGGAGCGGTGTATGATCAACTTCCGGTTAAGTTGGTTGTCAACGCACAACTCTCTTATTTAAAGATCAGTGATGAATGTCCACTGATTCTTTTAAACAATGGTCAAAATTAGACATTTTAGTGAGCAAGGCAATGCGCATATGGCAGCATATGGCGTACATTTGCGGACAAAAATAATAAAAAATAAAAGACAATTTGAAGTTCAAAAATTAGACTATCCATGTCGAAATCTCGTCATATGAATTTGAAATCGCAATGAACGCAGTCAAAATAGCATCATTCGAACTTGAAGTTACTTTGAACAAGTTAAAACTATAAAGGGAAGACTCGACGTCGCGGATGTTGAAGTTCAAATCACCATTCCAACTAAAATGCAAATTACATGATTTGAACTTCAATTCACCTTCTCCACTCTAATAAGCCACTTCATCGTCAACAATGCAACCATAATCTTCCACAAAATTCCAAATGAAACCTTTGATTTGAACTTAAAGTCACGTCACATATTCGAATTCGAAAAACCAAAATTTCAATTCGAAAGGAGGCGGAAGTAAAAATACACAGGAACCGGAAATGATAAGAGTTTCGCTATACTATACATACGGGATGTTTGCATAACTGCATTTTGGCGCGAAATTTCCCTTCACTCGAACTCTCTGGTCAATATGGCGGACAATGTGAATGATAAGGGTAACTCTAGGACAATCCAACAGATTGTGAGGGCTGGAGTGGCAAACTAAAACTTTATAAAAGGAGAAGCGTTCAGGCTTCTGAGAACAAATTCGTCTCAATTAACTTTTGATAAAAACATGGGTAATTTCAAAACACGCCTGCAGAATAGAGATTATCCAGCTAGAATTGTAGAAAAACACCTTTCAGAGATTAAATTCTCTTATAGAGAAATGTCGCTGGCGCAGAAAAACAAAACCGCACCTAAGAAAATACTGCCCTTTGTAACACAATACCATCCGGCGTTGCCTAACCTAAAGGACACACTCATGGGGAAATGGTACCTTACAGAAATCATCATCTCATATCGCAAGGTAAAATCCCAAAAGGAGATCCTAGTTACAGCTAAGCTATGAAGGCTTTATTAGAATTTATTCATCCGCGAACCGCGGGAGTGGTGTAGGTTTGTCAACACTGTTAGCAGAGTTGACAAAGTTCTCTCGTGAGTAGACTACAAGCAGTCTCTCTTTTTTCTTTAGTCCGTCGAGCAAACCGCGAGACACGCAAATGGCCACGCGCGTGACTGATGGCGCGAGACGGGAGAGGCACGAAAAAGAGAGACTTCTCGCAGTCTATCTCGTGAGCATCAAGTCGACGAAATAAAAATTCAGAATTATCATATGATGCTGAGTTCAGATTAGTTTCTGATGCCTCGAACAGTCTAACCAGTCCAACGAAAAACTCTTCGCTGTTCGGTAACCATCGAGCAGCCATGACGATGATCACATCAGAGATGAGGAAAGCTCAGGTTCCAAGCCTCCTATCTGTAGACTCGTACCTAGTCGTTACTCGGTTCCTGTGTATTTTTTACTTCCGCTTCCTTTCGAATTGAAAATTCGAATATGTGACGTGACTTTAAGTTCAAATCAAAAGTTTCATTTGGAATTTTGTGGAAGATTATGGTGCATTGTTGACGATGAAGGGGCTTATTAGGTTCCACTGTAGTTACGTATATTGTATTCAAATCAAGAGACTATAAAGGGGACAGAGAGGCCATCCCCTATATACACCCTGTTCCATAGGTAATTCGTCTCGAGTTATTTTTAACACCACAAATCTCAAGAGGGATTAGACAACAGCCAATCACATAGCGCGAATGTGTTCCGCGTGGATGACCCACGCTGAGAGCCACGCGTCCTTCACGAAATGACGCAGAACGAAATGGGGGAAGACGCGGGGAGCGATTTTGCTATTCCTTTTGTCGACGAAAACGACTACAGCGAGATTTCTGCGAAAGCTGTGTTAGCGAAACCGAAATTAAAAAAGAATCGCCCTTCCTCTCTTGTATAGAGCTAACAGTAGAGCAGGGAAATCCTTAACACACTGAATATTCTCTCAGGATCATTTATAATTTACAGTTTGAAGAGAGCAATTTCTGGTTTGATGTTTATTTTTTTCAGTCTTTATAGCGATTATTCCTACCCACTTACTTTGTCAATTGTAGGCGAACCCTCCTAAAGCTGAATTTCAAGGGACCATATTCAAGCTCAGAAAGAGAAATAAAATTTCGTCGTTGCTTATTTACGTCCTCCATAAAACGCGAAATTAGGCATTTTCACGTCGTAGTCGTGCAAAAACGGGAAAGAAATGAACAAAAAAGTGTGTTGCACGTGCGAAGTTGTTGTTTTGCTAATTAAACCTATTGTTTTTTTGACGTTCTAGTTGTCGTCCGCGTCGTTGGATCTTAAACTCCCTAAATTGTACAAACGACCGGTTTCAATAGACCGGCGAAATTTCTCATTTTATTAAAGCACTGAGGTTACGACAACTTCGAGTTAAACTGATTTCACGGGTTGTCAAAGAGTCCAGCGATTCCTTTTTCCCAGGTGAGCGCCGACTCATTTCGCTTCAATATTCAGGAATGCTCTCGATCTTTTTACGCTTTCATTGCCTCTCGCCCGACATGTTTTGCACGGCGTTTGGTCATGCGAAACCTCCACGAAACATCCACGCCTCGCGCGAGGTAACTTTATCCCGATTCTAAAAATAACTCGAGACGAATTACCTATGGAATAGGGTGTATATGGGGGATGGCCTCTCTGTCCCCTTTATAGTCTCTTGATTCAAATGCAGAGTACTGTTGTGAAACACAAGAACTGGATGGCGGCCAATCCGGTGGAGTCTTCGCCTCCTACATCAGATTGTCAGGATTAGTTGTTTTATACATGGTTTACAGCCTTTTAGCTTTGATTTGTTGAACTTAACTCTCTCAAGACAAAGAATAGTCATCAGATGTTCACGACCCCCATTTTTATCGCATTCAGTTATCGAACTAACGCGCCAACTCACTAAACGCGAATATCAATGCAGACCCCAAATGGTGGGTTAATACTCATCTACATACTCCAAAATCATGACGTTGACTCATTATGATTCATACACAAATTTATTCTCTACAAAGGAAAGAAAGAATCAAATTGACTGTCAATACTGATTAGGGTTAAGCACTGATCAATACTGATTAATGGTTAAGCCCTGAGAATAGTGCTTAGGGTTAAGCACTGACTCTAAAAACGGTTAGCTTCTATTTAGGGTTAAAGTTGATGCTATATACTTGCAATTCAAACCACTTCTTCCCAAGAAGTCCTTGGAAGTCTAGTGGTTTGGGTGGTCAGGAGCCTATCACCGTGAAAATCCCCCCACGCGAAAAAGGCGAGATGCGTGAGGTGATTTTCACGTGCGTTTCGCGTTTCGCTACTATCCCTGAGGAAAAAGGGGGACTACAAGTAGTCTACCACAGGATTGGCCGCCATCTTTCTTGTGTTTCACAACAGTACTCTGCATCTAAAAACAATATACGTAAATAACATAAGTTCACAAGTAGTTTTTGAACTTTTGTTCTCGTGCCATCCCGAAATTTTTTCCCCAAACTATTAATTGAACAGACCTAGACTTTCACGAACATTTTATCAAGCAGAAATTTCATGTAGGAAAAGGGAAATGTCTTGTAAAAGCCACTGAGAGGGAAATGTCAGTTTGGAGCATAGAGATGAGTGCTAACCGGAAAGGTTAGGCGAGGAATCATTTGCGCGCCTCCTACACCCAAATCTTCGGATGTAAGTTGAGAGGATGTAAAACCAAAAAGTTTCTCCTTGTATATTATTCAACTTTTTGTCGCTTTCCATTCATTGTCAGTGCACTTGATAGTGATTGGTTACAACATGAGATCATTATATGTTCTATAGTTCATTTGGCTTTTGACCCTAATACAAACAATAGGTAACATAGTGGCTTGGATGTTACTAGAAAACAGCAAGCGAAAGGAGAATGGCCCCTCGCAGGCTCACCTCGCTTGTCACTCGAAATAGAGAGTTAGTCTGCTGGCTGAAGGGTGCTCGAATTTCCCTTTTCCTTTTGCTAGCGTTTGACTAAAATAAATATTTACATGAATTTTTTCTATTCATGAATTTTCATTAATAACCAGTTTGTTATTAATGTTAATTATTAAACAGGTTTGGAGTTTTAAAAATGTTGTCATCTTAAACCATGGGAAGCAACAAGCAGTTCAAAGCCATTCAAAATGATGTCTGCGCATATGTCGTATTTGTTATGCTGCCTACTGTATTTTCTATGGCATAGTATAAAATAGTTACGCAACGCTTTCTAAAGGCTCGTGTGTATACTGAGAAAACAGAAGAGACTCCTGGGATATTCCATGGTATACCACTCAAAAGCGTTCCATAACTAATATGTACATATGTAAGTTCAGTTCAGTTCTTTTAACGTTCAGCAGCTTAGAGTGTTAACAATAATCAGTGCTTAAAAAAAGAGTTAATCCTGGAGTTATTCAATTTCCGCACTGTGCTAGTTGAAAACATAAATACAGTGTTTGTTTTTATCTGTAACAAACAAATGTCCAGTATTAGACACGGCACAACCAACAAGATGACAATTATGGTCAAAAAAACTCCCGGCTACCTTAGCGACATATTTTCCTTCTAGTGTGAATAGTTTCAGTCTCCTGCTCCCCGGATCACAAACGATCAAACGGTTAAACTTGTCAATAGCGAGACAAGTGGGACACCTTAACTGCCCGTTACCAGATCGCTCGCTGCCAATATCATAAAGATACTCCCCTGCGTTGTTAAATACCATGACACGGACAGCGTGACAGTAAGAAACAAAGAATTTCTTCTGGTGATAAAGAACACACCATGGTCTCTCGTCACAACCAGGAGCACTGAACGACTGAAGTAAATTTTTCCCATCAGGGCTGAGAACTTTAATTGTTTTGTCGTCCCAGTCACATGTGATTATGCGACCCTCACCCAATAGATATGTACCACGGTATCTTTGCATGTTCATCGCTGATGTATCGGATAAACCGACCATCTTCAGTATACAAAGATAATTTATTGAAGTCACCAGGGCTACGGACAAGGAGGTCACCAGACTCGGTAAAAGCTACCGAAGTAGAAACAATATCCCGTGCAATCTCTCTCAGGAAATTTCCATCAAAGCTAAACATCTGAATTCTCTTATTTTCATAATCAGTAACAGCAAGTGTTCTCCTCTTATCGCCTACAGAAATACCCCAAGGCTTCTTAAACTGTCCTTGCTCTTTTCCTTTTGATCCAAACTGAAATCCAAATTGATACTGATGCGAACTGATCACCTGTACAAGCCAGGGACTACCAGTCAGCGGCTGTCCATTAACTTGGATCTCTACCCCATGTTGTCCAACACACTGTGGTGTGTATGTCACTGTGTACTTGCCGTCTTTGGTGTCTTTTATCTCTGTTTCCAGTTGATCATCTGTTGGAGTTATAATGTTGACTTTTACTTGATCATCTTCATGGTAACACTGCTTTCCACCTGAATCTCTAGTTACAATGATGAAATTTGCCACCGTTTTTTCTCTTACAAGTTCTTGATTGTCCACTTCCGCTAAGGAAAGTAAGGGATCTGTATTACTAACCACAATTCGATCAAAACCCGGATTCAGTTGATTTTTGATAATGTAATTCACGTGGGGTGGTTTATAAATGTCAGGCTTTGTTACATTCAAAAGTTCTTCACAGCGTCCAACAATGATCTGATTTGTTTGAAGAATCTCGGCACTGACGTTTCTTTCCAGAGCACTTTCACTTCGTTCAAGGCAACTTTTTAGTTGAGTAAGAATGAACTCAAAATTTTCTATTTGCGTTGCGTGATGTTTTTGTTGCGCTTCATAGATTTCAGCAAATTTGGCTTCCATGACCCTCTCATGTTCCCGCAATTCATGGATACGTTCCTCCACGGTATCTGTCATCTTCTTTTCCGCCGACAAAATCTCATTTTTAGTTTTGTCCATTAGCTCGGTTTGTTTCCTTATTTTGTTCTCGTAAATAACAGTTTCCGCTTTCACTTTCTCTACAGCGTCCTTCATTTGCATTTTCTGTACTCGTGCGGCATTCTGAGTGTCTGTTATGGTGTGTCGATTATGGCTTACTATACAGCATTTCTGGCAAATAAGAACTTTGCATTCTTCACAATAAAATTCCAGCGGTTGATTTTCGTGATATTGTTGCGAACACATGACGGGTCGGTGGATCAACTCTTGAACATCTTGCACTCGCAATTTCTCTATCACAACATTGCGATGATCTCTTGTGGTCTTCAGTCGCTGATGAGCTTCAAAACAAACAGTGCAGAGGAACATTTGGCAGACGAAACAGTAAGAGGAAGCGGTGTTGTTCTCATCACAACTGCTGCATTTCTGGGCCTGTGCGCCGCCATCTTTTAGAGCGAGAACATCTACCAGTCGGTTGAGATGATAAGATGTGGGAAAGTTCTTGAACGAGTCTCCTTCAGGAATTTGAAAAGATGTCTGACAAACCGGACATTTGATCGTCGCTTGTAGTTGTCTTCTTGCAAAAATTGTATGTTTGTCAAGGCACTCGAGGCAGAATGAGTGAATACATGGCAAAGTCTTGGGATTGTTCACTGTATCCAACAAACACAGTGGGCATTCAGCTACTTTCTTAAGATTCGCGAAAAGCTGTTGAACATCCATAATGTATTTAAACAAGAAGCCGCTTACAGCAGCATTCAGTCTCGCTTGCTTGAAGATTAGATCAAGAAATGAGGAGGCGATTAATTCTACACGAAACGAAACAGATTTAACCGCTAAATGTTTTTTACTTCCTACTTTATCGACGTCGATACTTTTTACTTGTTTCTGAATTGACTTAGTACGCGTGTTAGCGACGACCGGAAAAACGTCTACGGTCGCAGGCTATACGCGTTTAGTAAAATCCAGCTAGTGGTCTATTATCAATGCTGCGTTCTGATTGGTTGAGTTACTACTAGGCTTTTAAAAGCGGAGTTCCACCCGCGCGCGAAGCGCGCGCGTGGACGGAGCCCCATAGCTAAGGAAATGTGGTAATCTACCCATCCGAGAAAATTTGGTAATCACGTGACCGTACGCCCGACCGTCCGTCCGCACCACAGGGAAACCAATGTTTACTCTCACACTTTCTAGCTAGTTTGGGAGCCCAAGAGAAAACTAATTGCACATCAATGTTGTGGTCAATTGACAGCTGTCAAAACAGGATATCCGCTGACCAGTTTCACCTGACCGTAACGCGGGCTCAAATGTCGACCCATCGAGGTCAAGTACTTTTTTAAAGTTGTCCGCTGACAAATTACCAGTTTCAAATGATCGCGGGCTCAAGTCTATTTTTTCCAATGGTTCATATGAAATATGTTGTGTTTATGTCACTATGGCCCCTCACTGTCAAGATTTTGATTTCAAACTGACCTCGGACGCGAAAACTCAGCCAGCTTTTTAAAAATACAGGCGGAGAAGACCTTTCTTACCATGGTCACGCGTTGGTCACGCTCTACGTCCAATTTTTGTACTCTGATTGGTCAAAATTTGACAGGTGAGTTCATGCGGAAAATTTATGCAGCGTGTTGAAAGTTGTTTACTTTGACAGCTGAAGCTGACAGAGTTTTGTGTCAACTTGTGATGTTTTTCACTGTCTTTTTCCACTGGATGTACAAAATGAAATACAGCTACTATCAAGAGTCTACTGTTATCTATGGCTGGTTTGTTTATTGGGTTTTTGGTTGAGAAATGCGTCGCTTGTCAAAATTGGGTATTCCGATTTCGGATGGCATCGTTTTCGTTTTTCACCTTGCTTAATGCGTAAGACGGTTTAAAATTCTCAAGCAACTGTGGCCTTCCTTGATATCTTTCAGGAACTGAATCTCGAATGATAAGCCTGAGTAATTATTGCATTTGATGTTTGTTTTTGTTATATCTAATTTCATGAAGTCGAGCACAGTTTATGCGGCAAGTTTTTGCACGTTTGTAACATTTGAGTCAATGATCTGACCTAGTATTAGGTTTGATGTAAGCTTACAGAACTTTAAAAGGCCTTCAGATATATTTTCTCACGGCAAATAGAAAGAAAACGTTCCGAAGAATATTTAGTTATAAATTTGGCTGTAGAAAGAAAACTTTGAGCGATTTTCTTGCTTCGAGGAGTTCATTTTTAAAAAAACACCTGGAGGCCGGCTGCAAGTAAAACAAAATAAACTTAAGCTTAAGCTTTAAGCTTAAAGACTCAGGATTTTTGGAGACACTTTAATACTTGTCTTCGTGAATGAAAATTGTTGTCTCTGTAAATGTTTCACCGAATTATATTTCTTTTATTGATTGTTTTATTGATTGTTGCAATTTTAATCGCTTGTCCGCGGCGTTTGTTTTCATCGTTCATGAACATCGCTTGAAGGAGTACTTAAAAATGTCGCGCGTATCAAACGCTTTATAAGATTACACATCGTTATAACTGAAACCATTAAATAACAAAAAAATAATGATAATAAATTCGGGATTATGTTGAAGCGTATCTCTGTTAAAGTTCATTCAAACACTCGACCACACACAGACAGCTCGCACTAGAAATGAGAACCGGCTGGCCGTATGGGTGATTTTGAAAATTTTTTGTACGGTTTCGCTAAAAGCCCACGATTGATCGTCCTAAACATTGACTGAGTGCAATTTGTCTTGAAAAATTGTGAGATACCGTATTCTGTCCGAGGTCTGTATGATAAATAGTACTGTTTCAGGGGCACCCAACGGCAATTTTCGGGAAAATATCTGTTCGGAAGACGATTTGAGATCTAGAATTTTCAGAGCATTTGTTGTAAAATTTCTTGCTTGCCTGCCTCTCCTAGGATTTTCGAACATCTACAAAATGGTATAATTACCCATTTTTAACGGATTTTGACCCTAAAAAAGGCCACCTAGAAGTTTCGGGAGCCTTTTCCTGGCTGAAATTTTCGAGAAGGTAAGCTTTTATCCCTATAATTTTCGGATCACTAGACTTTCAGCTAGGAAATCCGAACAGATAAAAAGTTTTTAGGGGATAAAAATATGCCTATATCTACCGTTTGAATACTAAAATACGTTCAACAATGCTATGTTAAGTGGTCTTGAACTATATCCTCGTTGGGTGCCCCTGCTGTTTCACCTCAGATGTGATGTATAAAAAGTATAAAAGGTTGGTTTACACACCCTCAGATTTGTTGGCAAGAATTTGTAAAGTAAACCTTTCGAACGCAAAAAAATTCGGCCTGATTCGTTTTCCAAGAATTTGTTTTCGAGGCCTAATCTACTGTGATAAAGAGCCATTATGGCTCTTGAATGTGATCGAAGATGTTTGCTGTTTTTTGGGTGTACATATATTTAGGNATAATTTTCGGATCACTAGACTTTCAGCTAGGAAATCCGAACAGATAAAAAGTTTTTAGGGGATAAAAATATGCCTATATCTACCGTTTGAATACTAAAATACGTTCAACAATGCTATGTTAAGTGGTCTTGAACTATATCCTCGTTGGGTGCCCCTGCTGTTTCACCTCAGATGTGATGTATAAAAAGTATAAAAGGTTGGTTTACACACCCTCAGATTTGTTGGCAAGAATTTGTAAAGTAAACCTTTCGAACGCAAAAAAATTCGGCCTGATTCGTTTTCCAAGAATTTGTTTTCGAGGCCTAATCTACTGTGATAAAGAGCCATTATGGCTCTTGAATGTGATCGAAGATGTTTGCTGTTTTTTGGGTGTACATATATTTAGGCTATCAACTCGATGTAAGATGTTTCCCTCTAAAATAACTTATCCTTTCCCTCAAAAGTCACATGAATGTGCCCTTAAGTTAACTGATTTATGGATTACAAATTTATTGTTGATTTAAAATATAGATTTATTAATGTGAGCTTCGCTTTTAGCCCTGGCTAAATCTAAATATTAGCGAAATGCGCCGGCTTTGAAAACCAAAAATAATGGCGGCTAAATCGCGTTTTGCTAGCTAAAGCGGTTTTGTCTCGATATTTTTTACCAACTAGTTGGATTTTACTAAAACAATTATCCCTCTCGTACTCATGGCCTCTGAGTCAATAGCCCATGAGGCCTTCAGAGCCTATGCGGGCTCGCGGAATAATTGTTAAGTATAACTACACGAGAATTCAAAGGCCTCGATTCAGAGAAATAACATCATTGCCAGATAACGAAAGAGTGATTTACATGGCATGTATTTTCAATCATCGCCGAAAATATATCGCATGCTCATCCCAAGACTTATTTGCATACAGTGAAAGCTTACAACACCCGACTATCGCAATTTTGCTAATTCAGATTCTGAATTATTTTCGACCATTCAGCAACGTTCACTTGCTCCAAAGTAAAGAACGCTTTCAAGCGATAGAATTCGTAAACCGATACGTTTCCGAAAAGCTCTAGCTAAATTTAATCTTTCCTAAGCTTTCTTCGCAAAACATGCGTGGCTTCCATCACGTAACCATTCTTAGTCCCAGTTTCCACGGTGTCCGCAAGGAACGCCTGGCACAATGACCCCCCATTTCTGACCCAAAAATGACAAAAATGCCCGGGAGGTACTTTCAGAAAAATTGGGTGGGGATGTGTGGCACGCTTCCTGAGACCCTTACCCTATTTCAGACCAAAATCTGTGATTTGCCCTACCCTATTTCAGACCTGATCAAAAATTTGATACCCTATTTCAGACCTGAAACCCTGGAGCCCGGCGCGTGACCGGAGCGC